GACCACGCCCCACACAGCCGGGCTCCGCCCCATCACCGGGACCACGCCCCACACCGCCGGGCTCCACCCCATCACCGGAACCACGCCCCACACAGCCGGGCTCCGCCCCATCACCCCTGCACCTCGTTGTCTCGGATTCTCCAGCATCTGCAGTTCCTACTATCCCTGCCCCATCCGCCCGGGCTCCGCCCCCATTCACCCCTGGGACCCACCCGACTCACCCCGGGCCCCGCCCCACACACCCTGGGCCCCGCCCCACTCATCCCGGGCTCCGCCCCATTCACCCCTGGGACCCACCCCACTCGCCCCGGGCCCCGCCCCCTCCCCCTGCCTGTCCCACACCATGATGTGTTGGTGCCAGGTTGGACAAGGTCAGAAATCACACAATACCAGGTTATAGTCTGGTAGGTTTATATAAAAACACAAGCTTTTGGAGACACGCTCCTTCTTCAGGTGTCAGCGAGAGAGGTGTCATCAGACACAGAATTTATAAGTAAAAGATCGAAGGGTCATAGAACTGATGAGAATGTACTGAACAAACCTGGGATAGCTGTTAAATCTTTAATCAGTTAGCAAGGATTAATATTCATATCCCAGAATTTCTTTCCAGTCTCTGCTCCGAGATACCTAAAGGCCTTATCAGTATTCCAGAGGTGACATCTCAGGTCAGGCAATGCATTTTAGGTGTGAGGCCTTGTTTAGAATCTGTCTGTATTTTAACTTGGAATCAGGCTGGTTATATTTCTAAACAAGGAATTTGTTCAATGCCACATTGACTGTCTACAAATGTGTGTGTCTACAAAAAGCGTGTGTGGTGGGGAGAGAGGTGTGTGTGTGTGTGGACACACGGTGGCAGAGAATGTGTGTGTGGGAGAGGGTGTGTGTGTGTGTAGGGGACAAAGTGTATGTTTGAGTGTGTGTGTGTTTGAGAGAGAGAGAGGGTGTGTGTGAGTGTGTCAGTGAGAGAGAGTGTGTGTGTGTGTGTGTAGGGGACAAAGTGTGTGTTTGAGTGTGTGTGTGTTTGAGAGAGAGAGAGGGTGTCTGCGTGTGTGTGTGTGTCTGTGCGTGTGTGTGTGTGTCAGTGAGAGAGTGTGTATGTGTGTGTATATCTGTGTGAGAGAGAGTGTGTGTGTGAGAGGGAGAGAGGGAGTGCGTGTGTGTGTCTGTGAGTGTATAATGTAGTGGGGTCACTGTAGAGTCATAGAGTCACACAATACGAAAACAGACCCTTCGGTCCAACTACTCCATGCCAAACATAATCCCAAACTAAACTAGTCCCACCTGCTTACTCCAGGCCCATATTCCTCTAAACCGACATCGAGTGCGACATGAACCCAAGATCCTGGTTGAGACCATCCTCGTGGGTACCGAACTTGGTTATCAGCCTCTACTCGGTGACTCTGCATTGTTGTGTATCTCGAAGTCCACCTTGGAGGATGTTTACCTGAAGATCCGAGGCCGAATGTCCCTGACACTGAAGTGTTCCCCAACGGGGAGGGAACATCCCTGTCTGGTGATTGTTGTGCAATGTCCATTCATCTGTTGTCATAGCGACTGCACGGCCTCACCAATATACCATGCCTCGGGGCATCCTTGCCTGCAGCGTTTGAGAGAGATAACATTGGCCGAGTCACATGAGTATCTGCCGTGTATGTGGTGGGTGGTGTTCCCACGTGTGATGGTAGTGTCCATGTTGATGATCTGACATGTCTTGCAGAGGTTGCCATGACAGGGCTGTATAGTGTTGTGGTCGATGTTGTCCTGAAGGCTGGGTAGTTTGCTGTGAACAATGGGCTGTTTAAGGTTTGGCGGTTGTTTGAAGGCAAGAAGTGGAGGTATGGGGAAGATCTTGATGAGGTAATGTGGTAAAGGCTGAGGAGAACATGGCATAGTTTCTCTGCTCTCGGGAAGTACTGGCCAACGAAGGGTACCCTATTGGTCGTGTCCCTTGTCTGTCTTCTGAGGAGGTCATTATGGTTTCTCACCGTGGCACGTCAGAACTGGCAATCGATGAGTTGAGCATCGTATCCTGTTCTTAGGACGGCGTCCTTCAGCACGTTCAGGTGTCCGTCACGTTCCTTCTCATCTGAACTCATCGACTTTCCACACTTGCCTTTCTCCTATCTTCGTGGATTTCAGGATTCTTCTGTGCTGCTTTGGATGATAACGCTTCTGGCCAGGAAATTCTTGGGGACAACTCCTCTAAATGTTAGTGTCTTTTGTTGGACTGATCAGAATTGGAAAAAGGCTGATTGGAAAACATAGGCCAAAGAAGGAGGATTAACTTACACTATAAAGAGCTCCTTCTTGGAGTATGAAAGTTAAAGTTTCACTCTGCTAACCCTCATTTGTGCACATTAGCCACAACCTTCTGGAATTTGTCAAAGGAGTGCTGCTTGAAGCTGGATCTAAAAATTCATTGATCCCTACATGCATTTTACTCATGTCAAACAGAACACTTCATTTCAGGTCCTTTAGCCACACTCACACTCCAGGCCGTGTCATGACACTGGCTTGTTTCAGCACAGCCAACCCATTTTCACGTGCTTACAGTCCACATTATCAGCTTTTCTCCTTCCCTGGCTTATGACCATCATCCCTTTGTCTGCCTAACTGTCTTTCTCGCTCTCTCTCTGGGCTCTGTCCCCACCTTATTCTCCCCCAACTCCCACCCTGAACCCTATCTTCAACATATCTACCACCTTTTCCTAGCTACCATCAGTTCTGAAGAAAGGCCACTGGACTTGAAACATTAACTCTGCTTTCTCTGTACACAGATGCTGCCTGACCTGCTGAGTTTCTCCGGCACTGTTCTTGTTGTTACATTTTGCTAATTCCAAGTTATGTTCAGATTTCCTGTGAATCTCCTTAATGAGTGTGCCAAATGAGGTTGCATCATGGAAACAATCACAGCCCTAGGACAGCTACAAATTCACACCATCCGTTTATCTTTTTTAACTATTAAAATTAAATCTCCTGCTCCTTAAACAAACATGTTTAAGAGCTTGAGATCAAGAAAACTTTTCAATTATTAATATATTACACCATAAAAATGTATTCAGATGAACAAAAAAATCCTAGAGGTCTCAGCATAGATAACTAGAAAAAACATTCAAATTACTCCAATAAAACATCAGAAATATTCCTTTATTTTCTGCAGTTTTGCGACTCTGGTTGTTGTTTGAACAGAGCCCTTGAGCAGATGTAAGAGGTAAACTTGCATGTCAAGTCCTCTAGTTCGGGATTGGGCTGTCTTAATGGCTGGCAATGTACTCAGATGCTGGGGCAGCATGGTGGCTCAGTGTACAGCACTGCTGCCTCACAGCACCAGGGACCTGGGTTCGATTCCAGTCTCAGGTGACTGTCTGTGTTGAGTTTGCACATTCTCCTTGTGTCTATGTGGGTTTCCTCTGAATACTCTGGTTTCCTCCCACAGTCCAAAGATGTGCTGGTTAGGTGGATTGACCATGCTAAATTGCCCATAGTGTCCAGTCAAGGTGGATTAGCCATGGGAAATGCAGGGTAATAGGGATGGGGTGGGTCTGGGTGGGATGCTCTTTGGAGGGTCAATGTAGTCTCAATAGGCCTAATGGCCTGCTCCCACCCTGTAGGGATTCTATGACTGAGAGAAAGCTGTAAAAGGGGGCTACAGGCTTTTTCTAGTTCTTCATGTAACTCATTGTTACCCAAAGTATCATGATCCTTTTGGCACGAACACAGAATTAATTCAAGACCAGCATAAATAGTGAAAACTTAAATTTGTAATGTGACTTCAATGATGAGGCTATGAAAAGTATTTCAAAGAAGCAGAAAATAAAGTGAAACCATTAGTAAGAATACTTTTGAAAGTAAATTACCACTAGGTACCTGAAAAAGAATTTTATTTCTTGCTGTACATAAATATGCATATCTTCATAACATCCTTCAGTCTGAGTCTTCTTGATCTTCAGTGCTGAATGAATTATTCACATCTCTGGGTGCAATGCACAGGGTAAGGGAGCACCACAAAACAGAATTTGGAAAAGACTTTAGAGAGGTGACCAAAGGCATTTTATATATAACATCCACTCCACTCTCAGTCTAAACTCTCTGCTCTCAATCTCCTTCAGCATTTTAACGGAGCTCTGTGAAACAATTTCAGATCATTACACTGCTCCCTTATGAGACTGAATACGTGAATGGTTTAGAGGATGGGGAAAATAATTGTAACTGGAAGAGCTGCTCCTTTTATGTGGTACCTTCAGTATTGGAGCTGTTTCCTCAGATTCTAGGAACAGTAGTTACTGTTTTATAAGCTGTTGCATTTGGTTGGGACTTTGGGGAAAAAAGCAACAGCACTTTAAAAAGGAGGAAGGAAGAGAAAGGGCAGGGACCACATGGGCAGTGATTCAAATGGAGAAAGAAACCTACACTGATGTCTGACCCAGCAGTAACCTTCACAGTTACTTGGTGTCAACTTCAAAGGAAAATAAACAACAAAATTCACAGCTGACCTTGGAAAAACCTGTGTGTGGGAGCTCATAGCAGGGCAGCAGCTAAGTGAAAACCGAAAGAACCGCGGATGCTGTAAATCAGGAACAAAAACAAAGTTGCTGGAAAAGCTCAGCAGGTCTGGCAGCATCTGTGAAGGAAAAATCAGAGTTAACGTTTCGGGTCTGGTAACCCTTCCTCAGAACATTGGACCCGAAACGTTAACTGTGTTTTTCCCTTCAAAGATGCTGTAAGACCTGCTGAGTTTTTCCAGCAACTTTGTTTTTTGTTTCAGCAGCTAAGTGGCTGGTTTTAAAGTGTAACCTTATTGTTATCTTTAGTAAATCTACAATAGTGAGTAGAGTGGGTTCTTTTTTTGATTATATGTTTTTATTGAGATCTGTGTCTTGATTAAACTTTTAAAAGTATTAAAAAAAGGTACTGAGCAAGCCTGGAGTAGTGTTTTTAGAGCAGTAAGACTATTATTTTCTGGGTCT